AACCACCAGTACTTGGCCCAGATATCGGCCGCAGAAAAAAATAGAGTAGAAACGTTCCTAGTTGGATGAATTTGGGCGCTCCTGCAGTGGCCCGTACGTTTCCTAAAATTGCGTAGCATTAACGGGCACGGCTTTAGGAAGTACTGGTGGTTTAAGGCCATCAAGGATGTGTTAAATTTGAAAAAAACAGGACCTCTTCCTATGTGGCCATAGAAGGAGAGGCCCACCGCTACCATCCTATGGCCAGAGGATTTATTTGGGCTGAAGGGGAGTATCTCTGCTGCTGTGAGCAGGCCCATCAGGTCAGTTGAGATTAAGGAGAGATCGATCCTCGAGTTCGATAGACTTGCTTCTCCTCTGGACCTCAGGCACGTGTAATCTGCCGGTGCAGGATTAGACGACATCTGTTTTCCAGCCACATTAAGGGGTTGGTGCCGGGCAGTACAGGAGGGGTCAGTCTGGCTATCTGCTCCAAGGCCAGCGCCCTCCAACGGGTCTGGGGCCAGAAAAGGAAGCCGTTAAGCCACTCCAGGACCAGTGCCATAGCCTTCGCTGCAGGACCACCTAGTGTCACGCCACACTACTGATCGCATAGTGAACACTCGTGGTTGCCTCACCATAAAAAGCCGGCTACTTGGCGTTGGAGGGGACAGAGGGCAGCTTTGTCCAGTGCCCAAACGGCTGGAAATTGTGTCCTTCGGCCAAGATGGAGCCCCCGTACACCCTGCCCCTCATGGTGGCCTCCTCTGTGGGGAGGCACTTGACGTGAGGCTCCTCTGAGCCTCTTGAGGACTCGACTCCCTGATTGTAAATCCATCATCCCAGGGTTTTGTTTCCCCAATCGACCCTCATGTCGAACAACACACAAGAACCTGTCCGTCAGTTTTCGAACCTCAGCCACGGTCTCCTGGCAGGCATGCGCCGTTAGGGTACAGTCATCGTCGAACAAAGAGAAAGCAGGGACCCCCTCCAAAATATACAAGACCTGGATCCTCCTCATGTCCTTAGGTCAGCCGCCATGTACTTGTCATTTTGAGCCCAGGAGCTCGGCTGAAGAACACCTTGAACTTGGACGTCGCGCTCCAGAACATGAGCCATTAGCCTCATCCTCATCTCCCTTGCCCTCACTCCACCGCCTGAGTTTTCGGAAGGGGCATCTTCAGGACGTGGCTGGGCAGGGCAGAAGGTTCCTCCATAAATTTGGAGATGAAGAACATTGGCAACAATGTATTGGGGAGGCTATAACCCTCTGCATCAAAGGAGTCGCGGTCACTACCAGAGGACAAACATCTCCGATGTTCTTCATCTCCAAATTGATAATGATGTTGCGCGAAATGCAGGCTGCAACCCTTCCTTGCACCACCTCTGCACGTCACATCTCTGTCAGCTTATGAAATTCCTCAAAACCACATTGGACCGACCAAACATCCATTTTATCGAACTCTCCTCCCCTTCACATACCTGTCATCGTACGTCACCTCTGTTAACAAACTTCCTCACCCAGGCACAGACGTCTTGATCCATCCAAGCAGGAACGCAACCACGATCAGGCACATTTAAGATTGTGCTAGTGTGAATGCGCTCTTGGCAGGGAAATGGTATCCATCCACATACGTCTTCATCCATGGCAACAATGCAAGGGGTTTTCATTGCATCCCAGCAGTCCCACTACGGAGAATAGAAAGTCGTGTTAACTGCAGAACACGCCCATCGTGAACAGACCCAACGAACCACACAAAAACGCTCAGAATTCTGCACTCCCTGTCCCAAGTGGTCCCCCCAAAGTGGTCCCGAGTGGTCCCCCTAAAATACCTACCTCCATGACAGTAGAGAACTGCCCAGTCCAATCACACTACACAATGAGTGCCTTCTATTCAAGATGGGTACCTCCAACAAATGGGCTCCGAGAAATCGCTGTTGAAATTTTAGATAGACCGTACTCTGTAATGCCAAGGTACATACGTACCTTGTTGTCTGAGAGATACAAGGCAGGCAGGAATCCGAGGTGTGCCTTGTGTGAAATATTTCGGGGTGATTTTTAGTTTTTTTTCTTTTTGTCTGTACAGTGTACACTGCCGGCAGCAGTGGACCGAGTTATTGGTATGATATGAGCAACCTCAACGTGAGGCCCTCCGCAAGTTTAGTGCTGAGAAGCTATACCTGCTGGAAATAGGGTCCAGTGCAATGACTTGCTGTTTCTGAGTGCCTGTAGCCTCTCTCTGTCGAGGCTGTACTATAGGTAGGACAGATTCGTAATTTTGTTTGGCTGAGGGCTAACCGAGAGACCTACCTGTGAGGGAAATTCTTGAGGGACATATCTGCAAATCCAAGAAAATACAGGCCCGGTACTAACTCGATTCCCTACAGCTACCCTAACTGCGGATAGCAGGCCCGGGCTACCCCTAGACAGACAGGCCCTATGGGCCTATTCTGAATAGACGGTCCTATAGCCCATAGCCGGGTCCGGTAGAGGCCGAGAGGCCGAAACAGATACGGTACTGGTCGGTCAGTCAGTCCGGTCTAGGTCGGTGTAGGCTAGAACTAGGATGGGCACATCGGTTCAGGGCTTTTGGCAGTTGGTACCGCGTACATCGCTGCTGCGCTACGCGTGAACCGGAGGTGGTGACGGCTCAGCGTGGAAGAAGACGGGCATAGCCAGACCTTCGGAGCGCAGGCCATAGCTGGGACCTGCGCTGTACTCTGCCAGCACAGAGTGGCTGACAGAGGTCTGGGCTGTCGAGGTCTGCTGGCGGCGAGAGAGATTGGTGCCCTGCTGGACCCTCCTCCGGAGTGGGGTCCCAGAGGGTTGCACTGCAGCCACAGCTGCAGCATCTTCATCTCAGAGGTCATCTAGCCAGGGTTTGGTGGCGCTGCTGCAGGCTTCCACCCGGGAAGCGTCTCGACACTTCGTCATCATCAGATACTCTGGCGCTGGTCTTCTTTTTCATCCTCTGAGTGGCGCTTGGCCTCAGAGGCCTGTTTCAGGGTGGCGCTGCCCCCAGGAGGCTGTATTTGGGTGGCGCTTGGCCTCAGAGGCCTGTTTCAGGGTGGCGCTGCCCCCAGGAGGCTGTATTTGGGTGGCGCTTGATGTTTCAGGGCTCAGGGGGTGTTACGGGTGTCTATCAGGGTTGGAGAGTGAAGCGCTGCTCAATTCTGAGCAGCGCACTGTAGTTCTGAAGTGATCCTGACATTTCGAACGTTGCCCCCCTTACGCCCACACTCAGGCGGCAAATCCAATGATACCGAATCGACATAAAGGGATATCACCCCATCAGTCCCACAAAAAACAAAGAAACCGTCTTTCGGGACATCCGTTAAAATTGGAACGATACAGAGAAGATTAGCATGGCCCCTGCACAAGGATGACACGCATAAATCAAGAAATGGTTAAAATTTTTAAATATAAAAAAAAAACGAAAAAGAAACCGGCAACACCAAGTATTTTCCTTTTTCTCACCCTAACATCCGTTCTACAAGGCCATACCTTGTATTCGACGTACACCAGACAGCGGCCTGAACCGTCCAAGGCCACCGAAGGAGACGCTGAGCTGCGTCCTCCTTGCCTACACCCACCCCCACTTCTACGACCAACTGCAGCATCGTACCTCTGCGCAGGTTTAAGAAATTTGAAAGCAGTGGCAGTGTAGTGGGCAAAAGTTTCCCACCCCCACTTCCACGACCAACTGCAGCATCGTACCTCTGTGCAGGTTGAAGAAATTTGAAAGCAGTGGCAGTGTAGTGGGCAAAAGTTTCACCCAACAACAAGAAACGGCCTAAAAAAGGCCACCTCCCTGAGAACAGGGCTTTAATCATTTTCTTCCCATGCACTCAGGCCTCTGCCAAGGGCTTTACCATTCACTTTCCATGCACTCAGGCCTCTGCGAATCCTGCCTCGAGAGTCAAAACCCCTGCAAAATTCGCTCTTCAGGAAACCTGCAGCGTCGAAGACTCGTCTTACAGTGACCGGACCACTTTCGACCAAGGCCCTTGATGCTCTTCACGGCCAGTCATGGTTTACGTGCATCGTGCCCTGGTGTCCAGGGGTAGAGCCAACCCCATTCTTTTTCTGAGTTTTGTTTTTGCCTTCTTCAACAGCACTACTCTTTCTCAGTACAAAGTTCCCAAACTGCATATAGCAGCACTACCTTCTTCCCCCGAATACAACATACGGTCATTATAGCTCTATCTAGACTGAAAGATGCCTCGGATAACAGCTACATTTACCGTACGGCCTACTCGGGGACGAAGGTACTGCTCATAGTTCTGCCCCCCACCTCTCTCTCTCCGTGTGTGTGTGTGTGTGTGTATTGTCATTTTCGCTATACACTCGAAGAAAGCATTACTGTGCCACTGTTTCGTCGGACTTTTTTTGTGTGTACGTGTTTTGTCATATTCCCTACACGCTCAGAAAAGCATGACTGTGCCAGACTGTTTCCTTGATTTCACCGACAGTGCCACATGAATGAAGCACAGTACATAGCACGAAGCACAAAGTTTACGAACCACACGGAGAGAAGATGAGAGAAGAGAGAAAAGGGGAGGAGAGAGGAGAGAGGAGGTGGCAGGTCACCTAGATCGCGTAAGCAGGGTAGCGCATGGCAGGCTCCACACACTCAGTGACAGAGGGCAGCACGCCAACGTCGAGCGTGTTGGGAGTGTAGGGCAAAATAAGGGGGTGTTTCCCAACGGTCCATCATCATAGAAAGCCCCACCGACAAGAAAGCAACAAAAGAGAAATCCACTTTCGTATAGGTCTCTCGTCTCTACGACGATCTAGGCCATTAAGCTCACAGGCCATTCAGTCAGATAAATTTCTCTCATCAGCCCCCCACTATTCAAGACATCCGTATATACAAACAAGCCAGATCTGAGGGCCGATTGGGATTTTTTCTGATCGACTGCGATCATTCACAAACGGTCAGACTGGAATCCAAGCCGTTCGTCATGACAAGGTTTCTATTATATTGTAGATTGTTGATGCGTTTAGCTGTTCCCCATGTTCTACATGGGGTATAGGACGGGACAAGGAAAATAAAGAGCGGCAGGAGACGGGACAAAATTGGAGCAAGAAAAGAGAGGGCAACTGTGAGACAAAGATCCCCGGGTTTATTATCCACAGCTACAACAAAGTTGGGCCAGGTTGCATAGCAAAATGAATGGCAAAGCGGCATACTGCCCGAGGTGGGTACCACACCTGCAGATGGTGCCACGCAGTTGAGTCGAATCATGCCACAGATAAACATCACAGGTTACTTGCCTTCCAAGCGAAGGAACAATGCTCCTGCACTTCCTGTTCATGCCCCTCATTACCGAAAGGCACTGACATTCCAGCCCCTCATTACAGAAAGAAGAACATCCCATCAAAAGTGTTAGAGGCGCACTTGCATGTACCATACACTCTACTCGTTACACAAAATACTGTAGAGGAGGGCTTGCATAGACCATACCCTACTCATTACACAAAATACTGATCACATCCTCACCGAAACATCAGCTGCATCACTGTAGAGCAGCGGCAAGCAGAGAGTTTCTTGGACTCGTGCTATCAATGTAGAGTATGTCAAAAGGCACGGAGAAAAGGACTTTGCTTGGAACATACACTTGCTGTTGATGACACGCCGAATTTGAACAAATGCCAACGAGAAATCACCTGGGTCACCGCAGAGCAGAGGAAAGCAGAGAGTTCATCTGTGGACGGGTAAATCTGGGTTTGGTTGGACCCAGAGGAGGATTTTCACCGCTGAAGTTTGCGCCCATGCTGCCCTGCGGGTGGCAACCTTTCAATACACTGCCAATCTCTCTTCCACCTCCCCCATCCATTCATCATCCGGGAGGACAAAGTTCCATCACAGGTGTTATACGTAGAGGAAGTCGAGCATTGCATCACGTGGGACATGGGCAAAGACTGGCACACTGTGACATCAAGATAGTCCACGCCGTACAGGGGGTGCATTTTCGCATTTTGCCTATGACAGCTACCTAGAGAGATCAGCAACCCTTTACATATAGCATTCCGCAAGGAAAGCAGACTAACGTACGTAGCTATTAATCCCACGCCGACCAAGATCACTAACCGCATATCAGGCCGGCCAGCCAAAAGAAGGGCCGGGAGGACAAATGCAAGACAAAGATGGACCGCACTTCTCATGGAAGGGACTGTCAGTGACGATACCCTCACAGTGGTCGAATTGCCGACAACGTTGTAAACAAGAAGGATAGGTTCCCTGCATACATGTTCGGACACTGGCATGACACATGGACGGTCCTCGGAAGGAGACAGCTTACCAGCACTAGCCGCACAGCCTGCATAACCTGCACAGCAAGGGCCACAGCTCGAATGGGTGTGTGCATGTGTTGCTGGGTGGCGTGGGGGGAGAGAGAGGGAGAGAAGATCGGTATAACGATCTAAGTATCGATCGAGCGACTCGGCAAAAGGAGCACAGAACATAAGCTGGGAGGAAAACAAAGTGGGCTCTCGGCATCCGCAACATTATCCCTGCATATACAGCGTACGGGAACTGCAAAATGAGCAGAATAGGGTACAAAACACTGCCCGCACGACTGCTCGTCTCACTCACACTGCTCCACTCCAGGTGCTTCTTCCCAATTCTGCCAACAATACAGCCGTACTCCTGCTCACGCAGCAATTAGTTGCAAAAGGATGCTCTCAGTTCACTAGACCACAGAGATGTACACAATTGCCCATTCGAGCCCAGTTTTTTGGAAAAATATTTCCATCTTAATGGCCTCCACCGAATCCAACTAGGAAGCTCGATAAACACCCAGCACCAGGCCGCAAACAATGTCGTACTGCAAACCGCAGAGCCGGTTCCCTTGCCAGCCACGCTTGCCTCCCGTACGCCTCCATCATTGTAACACTCTCGACACCCCCTAAAAGCCCAAACTAGACAAAATCGCCAAATGAGGATCTCTACCATCATTCGATATAAAACAGCGCGGTAACCGGGTGAGAGAGTGGTCGCCCGCCTCTTTCGACAGCATTGGTCAGCTTCACATCCATCAACCGGTGATTATCCTTCGATCTCGTCATCTGTATCTTGCCTGCAAGAACATCGCCGCCGCGAGCTCGCAAAGGTGGGTGCATCAGAAATACCTGCACAAGAAAAACCCACAGCAACAGCTGCAATGAGGCGCTACTCGACAAAAAGAATGAAAGCTCACCACACCACTTCAAAATTATCACTCCATTCACCCTGTCCGGCTACGGTATGCGCTGCATACATACAATAACTTCGCTATCACCTTTATCATCATTTCACAATCATCAACAGTCAGAAACAATTCCACCAAATCAATCACCACCCAGTCAGCGCAGATTCCAACCCTGAGCCACGATTGCACCAATCACTCACATAATGACGAAGTCCGTGCAATAGGCGTGACGGCCGCAACTATAAATCAACACAGAACTGTCTACTTAGAGATCCCAAGACGAGATCCCACGAGGTGGAACACGGCACCCTGCCACTACTCTCCAGAACCCAACCACTCACACCCTGCCACGAGGCGGAACACGGCACCCTGCCCCTACTCTCCAGAACCCAACCACTCACACCATGAGCCATTCAGTGCAATAGGAGATCCCACGACGGAAAACGGGGCACCCTGCCACTACTCTCCAGGACCCAATCACTCACACCATGACCCATTCAGTGCAATAGGCATGACGGTCGGAACTCCATCAACACTGATGCCTGTCTACTTACACATCGAGGGAGATCCCTCTAGGGGTAAAGGTGCATCCTGTACTCTCGAGACCGACTTCAGGCAGTCCTGCACACTCCATAGATTGCAGTGAATTACCCATCCAGTCCCCCAATGTTGATTGTGAAATTCTCAAAAGAATTCAGGACCTTGTTAACTACTTTCCACTTCCTGCAGATAAACAAAGAGGAGAAGAAATATGAAAAGCAGGGGATGTAAAACTAGAGAAATATGAGACCAGACGGTCATACCCAACCCAAGCAAGGTACAGTGGTACACCTTTCGCACAGAGCCGATGGGGAACAAGCTTGACTTACCTGCTGCCCCCAGTGGGTGGTTTCGTCCAAGCTTGGTGCAGTGTCCAATTGGACTTCAGAATCTGCTGGCGCAGCAGGAGAGCCCTGGAGAAACATCAGCCACATGAACGACTACATCATTAGAAAAAGGTGCTATATACACAAAAACGACATCAGCCACATTAATGACTACATCATTAGAAAAAGGTGCTATATACACAAAAACGCACTGGTTTTGCAAACAACAGGCCGTCATCATAGCAGCATCGACAACACATAGCAAAAACCATGCAGAGAGGCAATAGTAGAAAATTCACCTTCACTGATGGTCCCCAGAATAGAAATGGAGCCAGCGCCAAAAGGACCTGTTTTAAAAAAAATCCACCTTCACCTCATCGGCAACTCGATCGGTTGGGAAGTTCACAACGACACTAGACAATCCATAAGATAGCTCCGGCCGTGATCACCCCACTAGACCACGGGTAAGGTGGACAGAAACCAGACCGTGATCACCCCGCTAGAACAAGGGTAGGGTGTTCAGAAACTAGACCGTGATCACCCCACTAGAGCAGGGGTAGGGTGGACAGAAACTAGGCCGTGATCACCCCACTAGAACAAGGGTAAGGTGGACAGAAACTAGAGAGTATGCACGAGCAGATGAGACTGCAACAATACAATTACAGAAATAGTGACACGGAACTTGAGGCAGAGATGCGGACAAACAAAGGGAAGGGACCAAAACCGAAAGAAGGAAGGGAGACGAACTCACCCTAAAATGAACATCGAACCAGCCACTGTAACCGCTCACTCTATTAACGCCCTCATACAATGGTATTGAAAAGTCTGCGTCGACTGTTGAAATATCATTAACGGTTGCCGTGAGGCAGTCAATCTCCTTGATCACGGCGGCTGCCCCCAGGAGCTGATTGGGATACAGGCTATTCCACAACGACGTCTGCCTCACAGCACCACAACACAAGCCTGTCAGCAAACTTCCGTTAGATGGTCATGTCTCCCAGAAGATCTGTGAGCTTCTTCAACCGTCTACGCTTTCCCACCGTCCTCCTACTCTCCCGGAAACCAACGCCACATCGAAGTAGAAAGCAAAGCACCTCACCAAACATCCAGCATAAGAACGTGAAACGAGCAGAAACCACATTGCAAAACAATTACCCTCATACACAGGCAGGCAGGAAGACAGTTCTTCACATCACACCGCACATCATTCTACAGCATCTGTGCAACCACCACCGATGTCATCGTTTAACGTAACTGCAACCCTCACCACACACACACAGATTATAGCAAATTCCAAACCCTACTGAAAACCAATGCACCATCACCACAAAGATCGTATTACAACTGACATTGCAGGGGATGCAGACGGCCACGTGATACAGAACTGAAAGGCTGGTTAAATAGACAAACAAAAAAAAAAACACTGCACCCTCACCCCACAAAGGTTATAAAACTACTACTAATGACATTGCAGAGACTGCAGACGGCCATGTGATACACAAATAGAAAGGTCGTCAAATAGACAAAACGAGCAGGATATAGCGACGACGGACTTCGAAGCATCATACCAGCCAATCACACAGATCACCTTCTTCCGAGAATCAAAAGACTCGCAGAGGCATCAAGTAGAAAACCTTTGATTGCGCATGCCAATCCGATGTGCAACTGCCTTCTTCACCCGAATACAACATACGGTCATTTTAACAGGCTATCTAGACTGAAATCCAGATTCAGCTGTAATGACCGTCCATTTCATTCCGGTGAAGAAGGTAGGTTCGCATAGTGACGGACAGAGTAACAACTGGCAGTTGGGGTGCCTCGCAGAGGCAGCGGGACGTGTGTGTAGTCGGTACATCTGCAAGGAGACACTACCTTCCTTCACCCGAATAGAACATACAGTCGTTATAGCGGTATCTAGACTGAAATGTGTCCCAGATTCCGCTGTAATGACCGTACGTTTTTACTCGGCTGAAGGTAGGCTCGCATAGTGACAGACAAGAGTAACAACTGGCCGTTGGGATGCCACTCAGAGGCTGCGGGATGTATGTGTAGTCGGTACATTTGGGAATGGAGCAGACCATGCTTGGGGGGGGGGGGGGCTGGTGATGTACTCAACGAGCTTCAATTTCAAGTTTCAACCCAGCCCACTTGACCAATTGGTTAAGCGTCCGCTTCACGAGCAGAGAGTCGACCAGTTCGATTCTCTGCCTAGAATTCGTGTGTGACTACACCCGCACAGTTACATTCGTGTGTGACCAATTGGTTAAGCGTCCGCTTCACGAGCAGAGAGTCGACCAGTTTTATTAGCGAACCAACGTCCGAGATACACAAAAGAAAAGGCTGGTGGTCCACACCCGCTTAGTTTAGTATTCGCGGGAGGAATTTTGAAAGAAATGGCTCAACAGACGTTGGTTTTCAAAGAATACCCACACAAGGGTTGCACCTGTGCATTTCCGTCCATCTTTTCCTCGATCGTAAACCACCTAAGCACATCTGGAGACTCCAACCGAGCCTTCTCCAAAAATTTAGGGGACTCGGGACAGGGCCCACCTGGGCGCAGAAGGAATTTTTCGTTTTGGGCCGTCCCGTGAGCTTTAGACCACCACCAGTACATGGCCTACACCCGTCCCGGCATGAAAACTTAGATGTAGGTCTATGCAGCAGTTTTCCTGCAGGGTGGGCCCTGTACACCCGTCCCGTGAGCCTTAGACCACCACCAGTACATGGCCCCAGCCAAGTTGAGAATCCAATGAAGCCTCTGCTAAAGTTTTCGGAGGCTCGGGACAGGGCGCGGAAGGAATTTTCCTTTTTCCCCATACGGAAGGTACAAGGCAGGAAAACTGCTGCATAGACCTACATCTAAGGTTCAACATCTTGCCCGAGTTCTGCATATCACCAGATCTAGCCTCCCAAAAAAGCCTGCTTCAGACTTAGACACTAGTTTGCCTTACTTCGAGAGACTACAATGTAATATAGCCCACATCCACACACGAAAGAAGCCACACTTCGTTCTACCATGCAAAGGAACCGTTAAAGGCCACTTCAAATGTGACAATCACCGTAGCCCTTCCTTCCCCAGACACTTTGACCACCCCACCAAGCATTCTCCTAACGCCAATATCGCCAGATCCAGCCTGCCAAAAGCCTGTTTGAGATTTACACAGTTGCACAAACTTGCGTTGCTTCGAGAGAGTACTAAGCCCCGCACCAACACACACGAAAGAAGCCACACTTGGTTCTTCCACGCAAAGGAACCGTGAAAGGCCACTTCAAATAAGACAATAACCTAACACTCAGACACCCCCCCCCCTACCAAGCAAGCATTTTCCCAACCTTTCCGCCGCCTCAAGGCGGCCACTTCCGAAACCTTCATGATGATCAATGGTACTGATCCTTTAACATCCATCAGAAGCACACTTCCACACACATAACTCGGGAACCAAACTTCACTGCAGCGTGTGTGCATAGGCACTTCAAATACACTGCAGCGTGTTCATATACGGGAAAAGCGGTAGAAACAGGACTCGTGGCATTGCCAGCCTTCGACATAGACCGCACCCAGGGATGCCAATCAAAATTACCTGCAGATAGTACTTCTTCTGCTCCTCTTCATATGATTTTGCCAGACAGCTCATGTCCACGCCAAATTGTTCCCTTGTGTCAAGGACAAATCTGTCCCAATCAGCCATAGAATGCTGGAATTCCTGCATCTTCTGGTCCGCAAGGGCGCTTCTCATTGGAGCCAGAAACATGCGTGCATGGCTCGGATACCTGGCACCAAACATACAGACGTGTGCAAAGGTTCATCTCCCCCAACCAAACCGGCCCAGTACCAAATAGGCCCACACGGCAAACAGCACAGACCCTTCGAAAGACAACAAGCAGCAAACAATGCGTGTACTCCTCCCACAGCCCAACAAACGGGCTCCCAACGAGACATCCCGCTTCTCTACACAAGGCATCGTGCTCAGTACACATACCAAGCACCTGACGCACACACATGCACGCGCACACACACAACGCATGCTTGTACGCACAGACGTACACACCCACACCCACGCACAAGAACGTGCGCAGCTCCATCCAGCAACAACAGATCTGTCGACCATCTGCATCTTCACCGACCCTCAAGATGACAACATTCCCGAACGAAAGTAAGACACGCATGAAGACTGTGTAACAGACGATATACGGCATATCAAATCTACAACCGTGTGAAGGGGGAACGTCCATGTACATGCAGTCACGCATGCATGCATGCACGCACGCACGTAGGAAAACACGTCCGCATGCATGCACGTACGAAAACACGTCCGCATGCATGCACGTAGGACAACACGTCCGTATGCATGTGCGCAAGAAAACACGCGCGCATGCGCGCAACTAACACGCGCGCATGCACACATGCACTCACAGACACCACGCACACATGCACACATGCACACACAGACACTACGCACACATGCACACAACAGGACATGCACACACAGACACCACGCCACAAGGACATGCACACACTGCAGGCCAATCAATAACATGAAGCCTCGCTGCTCGATTCCGAGGATGTATGATGAGGGCGTATCACAGTCACAGGATGAGATTAGATAGATAAAACCCGCACACCTTTCACAGTTGATTACTCTCGTTGGTTCCTCATATTCCATCAAACAAACCGGATGCCAAATTAAATATCAAATCAACCAGGGGGCATCAACAGACATATCACACACATCATACCAATCAACTGGTTCTCCACGCAACCCATCTTTCGAACATAATGCCACAGCCAACAAAAATCACCTGATCAATAAGCACACATATCACTTCACATCGTGGGATCTCGTTCAACCACAGGATTAAGGGCACTGACATTGGGCAAGTAAGTAGGAGAAAAGGCTTACATAGCACCCCCTGGCTTCAGCCACCGATCTCTAGCAATGATGACGCTGTCAAACATGGACTCCCTCAAGAGGAAGTATCCCATCCATTCCGATATGATGATGTCCACTGAGGAACCGCAGAGACAATCAGTCTGCACATAGTTACCATCAAACCCTCACAACATCACACAACCGGCAGGCGCATTCATCCAGAAAACAAGGGTCTGAAAACGAATAGGAAAAAAGCAAAAGATGAGGGCAAGAAAACAGAAAAATCAGGCACCGAAGTTAAAACAGACGAGTCTTCATGCAAGCATGCAAGCACCCATGCAGACATTGGGAGTTCTGATTAGTGCAAACAAAATAGCTGACAACAAAACCAGACGCACTTCGTCAAAGTTTGATGATGCACTTCCGGGAAATTCAGCAGTTTCACTGCAATCACGCACACAACACAAACAATCCCCCTCGCACTGCAGATATGAACCTGCAGTAGACACCTTCCATCTTACTGTAATATGTCCAGATCTTTCACAATGCCTATCAGACTCGGGGAAACATCAACCGGACAACAAAAGTACTCCTTTCGGGTCGTTTGGGCATTTAACTTGACGTTTCTGGCCGCAGCTTCGTCATTTCCGAAACCGAAATCGAAATGGCTTACCGGGTACCGAATTCGCCAGTGGGCCTGACGATTCCGGGTCAAGAAACGCCAACGCGGAGATTGCGGGCCAGGGTCGACAAACTCAAACGAACCCAAACGAACTCAAACGAACCCAAACGGACCCGAACGGGTAAATAGACCTCGGCAACGTGGCAGCAGTGGAGACGCATTGGCTGTGCTGACAAAGACAAGCAACAGTTAGACACTCACTCGTGTCCGGAAAACTCTGCCAGCCTCAATTTCACTCACGTCGGAGCCCCTCTTGTGGGCCCGCCACCCCAACCCACATACTCCCCCTCACACTCCCAGTTTCATTCCTTCACTACTTGACCAGCAGTCGCCATTATAAAGTATCTAGGTCTGCTTTCGCGACTCCATACATACCCTTCAACTACAAACAAAGGCTGTGGCGAGCCGACCGAAACACTTGTCGACTCTTTTCGCCCTGGAACTTACTTCATGCCTATGGCGCCTCGCGCCTCCTTTTTTTGACAATCGGCTGTTTCTTCGAACCTTAAGATTACGCGCCGACTTGCGCTCGTAAAGGGTGTTGATGAATTCTTCGTGCGTACTCCATATTCCTATTTTTTTTACCATCGACTGTTTCTTCGCGCCTTACCTTACGAGCCGAGCCGACTTGCGCTCGGGAAGGGTTTTGATGTTCTTCTTGCAATTCTATATTCTCACTCCTCTCGTTTTGACCATTGGCTGTTTTGATGATTTCTTCATGCTACTTTTTTTTTTTTTTTCGTGCTACTTCTATATTCTCCCTCCTCTCGTTTTGACCATTGGCTGCTTCCTCGAGCCTTATCTTACGAGCCGACTTGCGCTCGTAAAGAAGGGTTTTGACGTATTCTTCTTGCGTTACTCTTATCTTCTCTCACCATTGGCTGTTTCTTGGAGACCGACTTACTTATCTTGAACGAGCCGACTTGTGCACGTAAAGGGTTTGATGACTTCTTGTGAACTCTATTCTCCCTCCTCTCTCGTCGTCTTTTGCCCTGTGCATTCATGGCTGGCAGCAGTCGCTTTTATGCATGATCTTCTCTGATCTCCCTACCTGCTACAACAGTCGTGAATACATCCGCTGACTGTGTGACCAGCACTCGTGATTACCTAAAGGTCTGCTCGTCCGAGTACATACCCTTTACGTGGACCCGTCGCAGACACAAAACGCAAAACCACGCATTGAGCTCGGCAAGCGGGCTCTGCACGCACGTCCCCCTGAACTCTCCCACCTCCCAAACCCTTCTTCCCTGAGTGTAACCAGACGCCGTGATTAAACAAAACTACCTTCTTCCCCCGAATACAACGTACGGTCATTTTTATAGCTGTATTTGAGGCATCTTTCACTCTAGATACAGCTATAATGACCGTATACGTTGTATTCGGGGGAAGAAGGTAGGTTCGTTCATTCACCTGTTACATACCAACGACTACAATTGTCGGGAGGATGCTGAGCACACCGCACACTGATGACATCGGTAAGCGCTATCAGACCGTACCTTTCTCTGGCAGTGTTACGTCTTCTATGCTGGCTTGAATGACCTCTACGGTGCACGCCACGTTGTTCCCCTCAGCCACTTTGCGCGCCTGATTCGCCATGTCTGTCGTCTCCACCGCATACACTTTCTTCGCCCCCGCTTGGGCTGCCCAAACGGCTAAGATGCCGCTTCCGGTCCCCACATCAAGCACCACCTATTTGACAGATCCCATGATATAGTGTGTGTAGACGCGGTTCACATACAGCGCTAAATCAGTCAACCAACCAAACCAACGCCGAGTGTAATAAAACATGCATAATCAGATTACAAGAGTTCCTTGAACTTCAGTCGATAGTTGTCTTCAGATTCCAGACAAGGATCGCTTGAAAAGAATTGTTATGGCAAGCAGATGCGTGCACACACAAGATTTTTCCAAAGAATCGTACATGCTACATCCTCGTCGGGTGCTTTTGACTTTTGTTTTGCAGCGATTCGTGACAGTGAAACACCCGCCGCAAAGGTTTTACCAAAACAAAATCATGGTACATCCATAACATATAAATATGATAGGGTGGTACTTAAGCTCAGCATTTGATACGCGAGTCTCCTCATTGATGGGGTCCAGAGGTAGTAGTCCCACTTTCAATTGCCAGTGGAATTACCTAACACAGTAATAAGGAATCTGTTTTTGTTTAGGTCAAATCTTATCCGTGACCAGTGAGGGAACAGCAGTCTAAGAAATCAGTCTTTTTTAGGTCAATCTTACGTGTGGCCAGTGAGGGAACAGGACTATCTTCGGCACGGCCATAGGAACGCAGCAGTCGCATACGCCAAAACCAAGGTCCTACATATTATGCGGCATCGTAGTACATACACAACCACAACATATCGTGCGAGAAGGGGCGACGGATCGTGTCAGAGAAACCCATAGAGAGTGAAAAGGGGCTCGCCAGTGAAGTCCGGGGAGCACTACTAACACTCGCAAAGATAGCAAGCCGCCCAGATCATGAAAAAAGTGATAGTGATCCAAAAAACAAAACAACGACAAACGGCCTGATGAGATTCAAACCCTGTAAACGAGGAGAAAACGGTTTCAGGAAGGCCAAAAAGGACGCTGTTTTTTAGGAGGTATACACCAGAAGAGGCGACAGGCAAGACCAGCAGCAAGATGTTTAAATTTTCAAGTGAAAAATGTACAAAACAAAAACAGCGGGAAACGGGCTGAAATTCAAACCCTGTAGACGAGGAGAAAATGGTTCAGAAAGTGAAAAGAGGACGCTGTTCAGGGGCTATCCACCAGAAGAGGCAGCACGGGCAAAAGACCGCGAACAAGATGGTTCTTCAAGTGAAAACGTTCTTAAAAAAAAAAAACAGCGAGAACCGGACTGAAATTCCAACCCTGTAGACGAGGAGAAAATGGTTTTCGGCTTTTTCGAAGACTCAGAAAGTGAAAACAGAACGCTGTTCGGGGGCTATCCAGCAGAACAGGCGGCACGGGCAAAAGGCCGCCACGAAAGATGGTTCAGGAAGACAAAATGGTCACATTCACGCGTAAAAGACGAGACAGATCATGGATATACGACAGACGAACGATGTCGGCAAGAAAAAGGGGTAGAAGTAGTGAAAGAAAGAACACGAAATACTACAGTAATACTACCGTCTTCACCCAAATAGAACGCCCGGTCATTATCGCTGCATCTGGACTGAAAAATACCCCAAATACAGCTATAATGACCGGGCGTTGTATTCGGGTGAAGACGGTAGTACGAAATGAGGGGCAAATGTGGGGCAAACAACAATACCAACGCGTCAAACAGAATGGCCAAAGAATGTTCCGCCGGATATGCGAACCGGATGAAACTTCCAAGAACCCGTGTTCACAAAGCCACCGAAATTCCCTCACCATCGTCCACGGCCCACATCAACCCATCTAATAAATAATGATGCGTGTATGTGAGGCAAAAAAAAACAACTACTCTATTTGCCAATATGGCCCGTGACAACTACTGACCGACCTTTATCCACCTGGCGCAAACTACTGACCGACGTTTCTCCACGTGGCACAAATCGTAGAACACGGTGCCTGGCACGTCCATCATTTCAACACGACGTAGAAGAGGACGACGAGAGCCCAGGGGTGAAAGGGGTGAGAGACGCGAGGACAACGGCATCACAGGAAAAGCTACGTCAGGACCTGGGGCAGCTTACCCGCGAAAAAAACCCTGTCAATCCAGAAGACAAAAAAGAAAACGATGCACACGATATGTAATTGCAGAAAACGTGTGTTCTCGCACTCTTAAGGGGGAGGACGTGAACGAGCTACAAGGAGACAACTACTGGACAAGCACATAGAAAGACCAAGCCTGGGATGTGGGCGAGATGCTGAAGGAGGAAGGAAATAAATAAGGTGCACGTCAAACACCGCTAAATCACACGGCAACCACACGAATTTTTCAAGTAAGACCATCATGTCCGCCAAAACCATTGAGCTAAATCGTACAAATTTAACATATCAACACGCGCGAGTACAAGATCATTAGCGGCGGACTAGCTGGTAATATAGAGGATAAATTGCCAACAACACAAGGGCTACATCACACGGCAAAAGCCGCTTTGCCCTGTTCCAATTACTTCCGGAGTGCACCAACCGAAGAATGAGGTTGGTCCGACAGATGGGGTTGGTTGATGCTCCACAATAAGCAGTAGTAAGTTGGTTCACCATCGCCGTCACTGCTGAGCACTCATAGAGACATGAGGAAAAAGTCACACAGCTTCCATCAGGCCGATCCCCATGCATCGGACTCTTAGCGTATTTTAAATAAGAGTAAAGCGTAATCCTCGATACTACTCAACACCGAAAAGAGACGTAATCCAAGCGAATAGACGAGAGATGTACAGAGTAAGATAAGGGGAGTCGACAAATAAATACAAGGGTTTCCCGCCACCTGCGCCCCTTCTTCCCGGCCTCCTCCCGTGCGGACAACTCACCCTTTTTGCAAAATAAGACGAAGTCCACAGGGGGAGGAAGTAACAGAATGTTCTGGCGACTCTCTCACAGTCTCTTAACTTAGGGAGGACCTACTCCTCTGTTCCTCAGCTAACGCCTATCACAGTCAAAGTCAACGGCTCTATATCGTATACCTATCCACTATCGAGCAATAGGTAAGAAAGTCCTTCGCATATATCGTAGAACAGGAGTTAGGACGAGAAAAACACTAGATAAAGGAAACCCTAACGGTAATTCGAATACAACAGGAGGAACTTTAGCACGAAATGTAAGTTGGGAGAGAACCCCTATTACGAGTAGTAACAACACAGACAGTGTTTGTTAGTTAGGCAGTTGGGAGGTCGACAGACTCGACACTGCGGCGAGAAAACGAACTGCAATATAAAAGATTGTTCACAACATACAGACTTTCACTGAACCATATCGAACCATTGTTCACAACATACAGAGACTGTTTCACTGAACTCGGACCGAGTAACAAGGAATGCGCATAAAAGATCGACAGACCAAGTCCATATCGATTTCGACCATAGGGTGAAACAAATACTCGTCATACGGTGAAACATTCGTCAAAAACATACGACTAGACTGTTACATAATAATAATAAACATTTTGTGACAGATCGCAAAAAACATACGACAAAGAAGAAGCTAAGACTGAGAAGCAGGAAACAAAGGAGAAAACGGGGAAAGGGGGTGTTTGTTAGATAGAGAGCTGCCGCACCTTGCCCCGAAAATGCCTGGCGTTCCGAAAGATCGCGCTATGGTACGCCTCCATTCGCACTCGATCAGATAACATCTCTTTCTGGTGATAGAGAAACCCATAGGTGCAGAAATAATTCGCAAAATCGGCGCCCTTGTCAACAGGGGCTCGCTTGGTGTCCGGCTCCATCGTTTCAGTAGTTGCAGGCACTTTCTCCAATGGAAATCCGCAAGCGAGCCACAATTAACCCTTCTCTTCAAAAGAAAGGAGAGCAAGACGAGAACAACCAGATCGACCAAGCCGAGAGTCGAGGCCAAAAAGTGAGATGAAATCCAAGCGGGGCTTGACACACAAAGAGCTGGCCCAGTCGTCCTTTCACATATCAACGAGATCACTATGATACTGTCCTCCACCGATGAGCAAGGGAACGGGGAGAGAGAGGGGAAGATGAGGAAACAACCACTATACTAGCCTTCCCTGCAAGCTAAGAACCACGCCACCGCCTTCCCTCAGCAGACAAGAAAAATCTACCTCCCATTCCCGATTTCTCCCCTTCTTCGTCTCACGCGAGGCTCACTTCATCGACTTCCGTCTGGTAATTCTCCTACTTCCCTTCCTCTACCCTTTCCTTCCTCCACGTGCCGATGCTCCCTCGTCCCCGAACACGGCTGTGGAATCAGCCGCCTCGACGACACCAAAGAAAGAGCCACATGAGACCACACGCGCCTGCTATCATTTCCTCGGGGACCTGTCGTTCTCCCTCGCCCACTCTCCCTCCTACTCTCCCTCTTTCCAATCAAGCACCCTTTCGCCCGGTAGCGGCGAAAAAATGCCCGAGAGAACACCTGCCCTCCAGGACAAAACCAGAGACGGAAATGGGGGCTGCTTGAGTACGCTAAGACTGCCAACAATACCTCCCAGTGTCCTGTTTCTCCCTCTCTACTCTCTACTTCTCTTCCTTTTTCGTTAACTTTTAGGGGTATTTTAGCATATATATGAACTTTCAGAAGGGTATTGTAGCATAAACATGAACTCTCAGACCTTTTTTGCTAATTTCCCTTTTTCTCTCTTTTCTTTTATATCTACTTCTGAACGTGACCCCTCTTTGCCATGACTGGCAATTCAAACCTGCGACAGGAGTCGTAGTTAGTATTTTCCCATCCTGTAAGAATAGGTCACCTTACTTGGGCCGCCGATTCAATCTATTTCTGTGAATCCGAGATTTCTTCAACAGAACACCAGTTCGAACGAGCGTAAGTTCATGAACCAACTCCTGCGTCTGCCGAGCCCGAGACGCCCAGCCTGTAACGTTACTCCTGCCAGGTCACACCTATTGGTATTAAAAAGTGCATTTAGCAAAAAAAAAATCATAGGCTAAACCATTTATGTTTTGAAAATGGTTTGTTTATACCTGTTTTTTTTAATCTTTTGTCGTTGAAAATTATAATTAAAAACCATTATAGTTAGCTTACTCAAAATTTGGCACAAGCCCCCAGTACCCGTCGCGTCCAGTAGCGCGAAGCAGTCTTCTCTTACACATATACTAGTAAGGGGTCGACTTAGCTTCGATCGAACTAGTCGTTCACGTATCAATTTTTTTAAGTTATGACAATTTTTTATCTTCCCTTCTCTTTGTGTTTCTTTTTTTCAATGTTTTTCAATAGTCTATTCATATAAACAAGGCTAACAATTTTGAGACGCTATCATCAAATTGGTCAGTCTGAAATCAATAATAAGAATTTAGCTCTTCAAAAAACATATTCATGTTTGTTCATTAACATTCATATAAATCTACTATTAAACGAAATAGGTCGGATGTGAGAGCCCTTTTCTTTTTCCTGTTGCCACCCTCCTAGAGAACTCCCTTTATTACACAAGTCGATAATCGTCCAATTTAATTAAAACTATTTTAAAATATAAAGAGGAAACATAACATAAGTATAATTAATAGTAAATAGCAATAATGAAAATTTACAGGAATGACAAAGGTAGACAAGGGTAGCAAATAAGCAGAAAAAACACATAGTAAGATAAAACATAAAGTGAAAAATAGTACCAAAATAGTGAACGAATACCCAAATTTGTGGACAACTTGTCATACCATTTATAAGAAAACCCAAAAGCCTTTTTAACCAAATTTGTTACCAATTCGTACAATGGACACTATAATAACTTAAAAAAAAAAAAAAAACACTTCTACAAATTTTACTGATATTTTAATTTCATAATTTTTATAAATTTTTATATACAATAAAAAAATAAATTGTTCAAATCATTCTAAATTTGACAAACAACAATCTCGGACCCAAAAACAAACAAACAAAAAACGCAGATGAAAAACATAAAATTTGATTCTCAAACCCTAATTATAGTTTTCGACCTGTTGCCCAAAAATTGAAAAGTAGGGATTATCGTTAACAACAGACAAATTTGAGATCCCTTATTTAGAGACTAAGTTATAAAGATCGGTATGTATTAAACCATCCCTCTACCCGTCTCCTACAAGGTATCCTCCCTGCGAGTTCGGGATGGTTTTTCGGGGCGGGGGAGGTGGGGCCATTGTCAACCGGCAGGCGTGGTCTTGCAATATACGATCGAAAACTTTTACTATTTTTCGTGTTAAAAAACATTCACTGAAAATTTTAAAAATTTTGAAGATCCATAAATTAGATCATGATATTTTCATTAAAAAAATATTAAAAAAATAATAATAATCTTGTTCATGAAATAAACACTGTGCCGACTTGACACATTTCAATTTTTGTCACTCTACCATGTTTTGCTAACATAAAAAGTACGGTAACTTTTTTGACTTTTCGTGTTCATATGAATTCACAATTTTTTTTGAGGGTCCGTAGATTATAATAGAGCCAGAGTTTTGATGAATGGACGTGCTAGAGGCTTCCATTGCGCTGGGACAACACGCTACCTTAAGCGGCTGTTTTAGCTACATAGTTTATTGACTTCGACTTTCTTTTTTCCTTTTTTTTATGCTAAGTTGTTTATACGTAGTCGAAGAGTATGTTTAGGATGAATGAGAATATTAACTGTCAGAAGGTCCACTACGTCGAACGAGCATTATGTTTTGCTGAGTTGTTGGTATGTCTAGGATGAATAAAAGTGTTAATCGTTAGAAGTCTCACTGTACTGATTTAGCGTTACATTTTTACCCTATACTCTGTCAACACATGAGTGTTATTTCCAAGGTTCACTAGGATAAGATCAAAGGGTCCAGGTTCTAGGTCAGGGACCAGACGAGAAATAACAGTTGGACAAAGGACTATGAATAGGTAGTTGTTCTATGCAAAAAGTCCCTCACTCGATTCGAAACTTCCCCCCGAGGATGATCGGGTCTGGCCTCGGTCGAAACGCAGGTGTAAGGGAGCGTCAACGTGTAGGTTTCCAAACGTCTACACAGTACTTTGTCAAGCACGCGACTATTGTCTTCTGTTTCGACATTTTCAAAGTAAGAGTTTCATTTTGAATTGAAAAATTGATTTTTCACATAGTGCTATGGATTGAAGAGTGCTCTGTTTTTTTACTGTTCATTGTTGAATGGACTAACCACTGAAATCATATGCACCATGTATTCAACTCACTCCATAGACGAACACTGCAACCAGCCGAGAGAGGTCACTCAAAGATCGTGCTTGCGATGGTTCGAGAGATTAGCTACTGAAAGTTCAATGAGTATGAAGGTGACTCTGTCGACGAAGTATTAACAACAACAAACAACAGCAAGCGAAAAAGATAACGTGGAGATTGAGCATAAGAAAAGCAAGAAGAAGGATGTGGAACTGGAGACAACCGCTCACGATGCATAATAGGAGACGCGACTCACGAGGAAGGCGATATGACTACAAAGGTTACGAAAGCGGGGGGCGGGATAGGAACGAGGACGAAAAAAAAAAATAGAAGGCATGATGAAAGGATAAATATAAGATATGACGACCGGATGGTCATTCGATGATTATACGAAATGAGGTTATGGAAGTGGAGAAAAACAAGTGCGGTGTTACGAGTGTAATGAAGTGGGGCACTATAAACGTTAGTGCCCACGTTTGCAAGGAAGAGGTGGGGCATCAAGCAGGGCACAACCAATAACACTCAACGGAAGATTATAAGAATCATTGAGCGTCGTAGGGAAGATGGTGCAACAGTTGCTCAATAATTAAAAAAAACGGAGACGGAGAAAGCAACTAAACTCGAAATGAAAAAAAAAAATCAAAAGAACGAGAAAGAGACGAAGAAACAATCAGACATGAAGAAGATTATCGCCGAGCTGAGACAACAATATTATCAGCCATGCTGAAGAAAATTGTCGACGAAAAGATGAGGAGTGCCTCGATAAGCAAAAAGAAAAGAAGAGAAAGCCCCCGTAATGGTTACATCAAGCTCGTAAAATAATGAAACATCAAACGATATTACGTCAATGAAAGACAAAAGAAAAAGGAGGGAGTCCACCAGAGTTGCGATCAATAGCCCACTGGTGGAAACGACTCCTAAGATAGTGACATAAGGAGAACTAGCGACCCCAAGCGGCACGAAGAGAACAGGAAGAGGGAGACCAACCAAAGTCGAGGCGTCCCGATGGGTTATACATATGCAACGGAATCAGCCTACAGGACGACGGTAAGAAAGGTCATCAGATTCTTTTACCCGGGACTCCCAAACTTATTTGCGAAGGCCCAGGAATCCGTTCTACTACACCAACGACGCTATCGACATACTTGCGAAACTACACGTGTCGTACTGGTTTAAAAGGAAGCGACAGTCATGTTCAGCGACAAACAAAATGAGGCAGAAAACCAGATAAGGGGCGGAATTCAAGACCCCGAAGGTGAGATAGGAGAGTAATTCTAATACATAAAATATCTTGTGTGAGTACCTAGAGTATAGGAGATGGTATAGGTTGATTCAGAGGTAAAAGAACCTTAAAGCTCTCGTTGAATGGATTCCACGAAATACATTAATGCTTCTACTAATGCTGTAAAATAAAGTAGAATGGATGGGGAACTCAGTCGAGAGTATTTGGAATATTTTCAAAATCGAGAGAGAAAAGTGGGATAATCCAAAATCGTGTGTATATGTCCTACTAGACCCTTGGTGTCGACTTACCTACGTAGGGAAGACAGAGAGGTCACTAGCAGAGAGATGGTCGAAGCATGTTGGGAGGACATTTACTACGATTGACTAGAGAAGAAACAAATTGTACGCATGGCAGAGGAAGTGGGGTTGGGATTCCTACATATATATCCCAGTTGCTATAATAGAGAAGGATGAATTGTTTGGCTTCAGGCAAATAATGAAAAGGAGATGGTTGCCTTCACTGAAGGTAACGGATAGAAATACGAGAAAAATATAGAGGAGAAGGGGGAGATTGGGGAGAGGAAAGAAACAGAAGCAACACTTTGACGAAGAGAAGATGATAAGATTCACGAGCAAAGAGGAAAAAAAAAAAAGTGAAGTTAACCGATACTATAGCAGGGCTAAAATGAAAGAAAGGAAGAGAAGTAAAATCGAGCGGAGGAAAGGTATGGGAAGAAGATTGAAGGGTAGTAAAAAGAAAGTTTGAGGATTTGAACGTGTCGTACAAAGGAAGAGAAGCCAAATTAAAAGAAACAAATAAGTTTTTTGAAGAAGATAGTTCGGTGAGGCTGTCAAAAATTCAAAAATGACATCCAAGTAATTCAAATCCGGGAAGGCTCCCTTACCAATTGCTTAAGAACCCATGGTCGAGATGAAGTTGAACAAACTCAAGTTAGACCAATTGGCCGAACTCTTCAGCAACGTTCAAACTTTTTTTAAGAAAAGCACGAGGAAGACCTCGAAGAATATGATAGATGAAGGAACGAAGTGACTCTTTTAAGTTAGCTTTACGAAGAAGATAGTAGTAGAAGCACGGTATGATAAGTGTATATCAAGCATAGAGATCTAAAGTAATAATGTATGATAAGATTAAACTGCAAGACAAATATGAGGTAGTGGAGAAGCTAAGTCATTTGAAGCTACCACTTGTTTGGCGTAAGAACCAAACAGTCGATCAACTTTTCCATAATCATCGAAGTGCGAATCACCAAATGACTGTAACTTGTCGTTGTGCAGATCTTGGCCTTCCTAAACAGAGAGGACATGTGACATTTTGCCTAAGTTCCAGAAATCATGTTGACGAGAGGTTGTTCAATGTTAAAAACATCGTTTGTGCATGTGACCATGAAAAGAAAAAAATAACACGCTGTAGGGAGTTGAACA